ATATCAGAATAAGCCAAATTTGGGTTTTTTTTCAGAAACACAGCCCAAGTAGTTTCTGACAAATATTTGACTGATGTACCTTGGTACAGGGGCTTGAATAGGTCTGTAACTTCCTAATAGTATTTTGCTGCTTGAGACTTGTAATCCAGTTGAGTATCTGTGACTTCAGACTAGTAACAAACTTAAGAACTTCCTTTCTTGAATTGTCTTTACCCAGATTTTCAAAGTCTCTATCAGAGCAGAAGAGAATTAGGTAAGTTGATATGTGACAACCTCAATTTTCCCAGTCTCTGGAGAGGGAAAATGGGAAAAGGCAGGAGCAAAGTACTTCTGTGTTACTAAGACTGGTAGGAAAGGGAAGGAAACAGCACAGGCAAAGTGAGTGATGAAGAAGCATCAGAAGAAGGGCAAGAGAAAACAGCTTGGGAAGGAATCGGTGTAAAGTAATATACAGATGACTGTCATGTAGAAATATTGTTGGTCACTGCTGAAGTGAACAGGACCAGGCATCACAAGGATGAGAACAAAAGGGAAGATAACTTTTTTATAGAAAAAAAAATAGATGTAAGAATCACCTGGAAAAGAAAGTAGAGTGAAACTGAAATAATTTTTTTTTTAATTTGCCTTTCCTTTATGTCAATTAAATAATTCAGTATAATGAATAAAATGGTGTGTCAGATACATAGCATAGTAGATTCAAAGCCTGGCAACCTGCAGAATTCAACTAAATTATACAGACTTTGAATCTACTATGCCATTAGTTCACATATACACTCACACACAAAAAAAAACAACCCAACCTGCTTATTTTCCTTCATTGACTAGTTCAGACCAGAGCTGCTCAAAACTGCCCAGCTGCATACAGATCTGAAGAAACTAAGATTTTCAAAATATTGGTGTTTGAGTGTCCTCTTGTGTTCAAGTGGCAAATTGCAAAGTTAATGGAAAGATTTTTTTCTTTTCTTGCAAAATGAAGTATTGTCCACTAAAAGTGTTGTATTATCATGGTGTTTGCCTCCTTTAAGATAACTCCAAAGTATCTACACTCGCTTTCTTAATTAGTTAGTTTGTTTTGCTTGCTTTTGCTTGATACTCAAAGTTCGTTTTAAACAAATTCTGAGATTTGAAAAACATGTTTCATTTATTCCAAATAGGGAATGATTATGTAATTAGTTGCACAAAAGTCAAGTTGCAAGTTTTGTAATAAAAATTTATCCATCTAATCATATTAATACATAAGATTTAATTAAATTGTTGAAAGGTTCAAAGTAAACTTCACGTACTCTGATCAGTGAGTTTGACAAGTCTAATAGATGAAATAAAGCAATAGAAATAAGGTAATAAATGAAGCAATAGACCAAATAATATGCCTTTTCAGTACACATGAAAGCACATATGAAAGGAAATTCAGTACATGAGAAAGGAACTTCCCAAAATCTAGGGCAGGGGGGATTTCAGGGACCCCTGGCCCTCATTCTGTGACATCAGAACAAATCTAGTTGCAGTGCTCTCAAGTTGGGAACCAAAAGTTAGTGACCACTTTTGACAATTGTCTCCATTCATCAGTTCTGTGTTTGAAGACATGGTTCCCTGCACCAGCAGAGGGGACGATGAGAGCAAGAAACACAAAAGTGGAATCTCAGCTCAAACCCAAACCAGCCATGAATGATACATGTATATGATGTTGCTTTATTTTTTCATGTATCACAACTTATTGGTCATTTTTCAGTGAGCTTCAGCTAAATCATTTACATTTTCTACTCATGTAATTTTTTCATGTAGGTTAATCTACCTTTGACTTTGTTTATTATTTTTGAGCCACACACAGGTTCTTGGGCAATTTAAAAAACAAATGGCAGTCTCAGTAAATTTCTAGCGCACTGGTAATCAATACATCTGTATGTCTAGAAAGTATCAAAACGTTCAGCTTATTTGAGTAAGATGAAAATAATATTGGAGGGGAAGGACTGTAAGACATACAAGAGTAGCTGCCTGACCAGGCTTCTTCTAGAGTGCATGTTCCAGGCTCACGAAGGAGATATGCATGAGCCAGGCCCAAGGACTGCAAGAGTCTGATCAGACTTCTTCAGCAGATGTCTAGGTGGTACTTTAAAACATAAAAACATTAAATCACTACCTATTTATTTAATAGTTCCTTAGTCTCTCCCTAATTGCCTTTTGACTCTTCTTTAGGTACTATAGAGAGTCAAACACCCTTGAGAGGAAATTCAGGTGTGTTAGGTTTACCTTTAACCTTTAAAAGCAATTAATTTGTTATAGATTACAGTTTATTATAGCTGGTGGGAGAGAGTGCAGCTCTTCTAATGCTGCTCTTACAGACCCATAAAGACAGAGTAATAAAGATTTTTCATCCCCAGGACATATATATGAATTTTTATGTTTTGTTTGTTTGTATTTTATTTCTTGAGAACTGGATGTGAATATTTCACAAAATATGGTATAAAAAGGGGGCAAAATGGGACTCAGTCCTCAAATTAGCTTGCTTTTGAAAATCTATTGTTAAAATAGTGGTTCTGTTTGTAGTGCATGGCACCTCAGACATTTTAGTGAAAAGCTAAAAATGAGGCACATGAAAAATTTGCATTAATTTTCTCAGGAGGTAGCTCAAGATCTTAGTAGAGTCATTTGTATCATTTAATAAATATCATGTTCTTTCCTTTTTTCTTTCTTTCTTTCAGTTTGCAGCTCAGAACCTGAAAATGTCCAGTCTGATCCAAAGAACTATACTAGTCTTCTTGTTACATGGGAAAGACCTCGTGTTGTATACGACACCACAATTGAGAGATTTGCTGTCTTTTATCAACAGTTGGATGGAGAAGACCAGACTAAGCATGAGTTTCTGACAGATGGGTATCAGGACTTGGTAACTGTAAACTCTTCACATTTCATAGAAAGTGGTGATGGCAAAACACTCACTGTTAATTGTCTTAAGGGATTAAACAGTAACTAGGAGCTGATTCAATAAAAAATTACTTCTTTGGCTGCAGCTCACAGAATTTGTACTTCATTTCTTGGCTGTGAAGCCCCAAAGACAATTAAAAAAAAAAAAAAAGCCTGTCTCGCCCAGAAGAGAGAAAGCTTTCACAGACTGTTGTTCTGATTTGCCTCTCAGAGCTTCTTAGCCATAAAACCCTTAGTCAATTAATAGTGATCCGTACTTCATTGCTCACTGATGTGCAAAGAATGACCTACACAAGCAACTAATAAGATTCAGTGCAATCATACAACATTAAATATTAAGATACTGATTGCAGCTTCAGCTTCATGGTATTTTACTAATGTGATCTGTTCCTTTTACCTTCTTTAAAGACTCATAATTTAGCAGAGATAATTTTGCCTAAATTAATTACCTAGTGTTCAGCATTCAATAATTGTGTAGTTTGATATCTGCTATTTAAAAATTCACAAGATTTTTTTTTAAAGTTTACTGAAAAAACACTTGTGATAATAAAATATTAAAAGCATACATTTGAGTCCTAGAAGAAAGGAGCTTTATGGTTCATATGAAAAATGTGTTATGATAAAATTAACATTTCCAAATATTTGATACTTATTTGCAAGTAAGTGATTAAACATGGTTTTTCTTTTAGGGGGCTATTCTAAATAATCTGCTGCCCAATTCAAGTTATGTTCTTCAGATAGTTGCTGTTTGCTCTAACGGTCTATATGGAAAATACAGTGACCAAGTCATTGTTGATATGCCTTTAGAGGACCCAGGTAAGTGGTCTTTTGAGCTTAGTGATCACTTTTAGGTGAAAACCTGTATTTGAAGTAGTTTGTTTGCAAACCAGTTTAAAAGCATGACTCAAAATATGCTAAAATGAAATTTCAAAATCACTGCACTTAACCTTCAGCATGTTCTTTGCTACTGATATTTTACGTAATGTAATTCTCCATTCCTTGTAAACGTGAAAGACTATGAAAGACTGCATGTTAATTTTCTTTAACTCTGAGAATATTCTGAAGAACACCTGCCTAATTTCAAATCTC